CTGTTGGGGCCGGCTGAGTGGCTCAGTTGGTTAAGAGCTTGCTCAAGAGTGCGAGCTCTGAGCAACAGCCGTTTGATTCCTGGCCCGAGCTGAGCAGCCACTCAGCTACCAACAGGTGGCAGGATGGTGCAGCTTAAAAAAAAAAAAAGAAAGAAAGAAATAGTGACCTGTTAGGTATTACCATTTGTTTGTATGGTATTATTTTTTTCAAATGTATGAGCCAGTAGACTTGGTGCTACCTGAATTGAGCTCAGTTAATCTTTGAGCTTCTCCTACCTGCCATCAGCTATGCCAGGACGTAGAGTTGAGTGAGTTCTTTCCCTCAGCGTTTACCATCTAATGGGAGACAGAGATGTAATATCATTATAGTCTGGCATGTGCTATGTTATAGAAAATAGTGATCAGAGAATGAATTTAATTTAGCTTAACTGGGCAAAAATATAGGTCAGAGTAAATTCATATTTTAAATCTCTTGCATTTTACCCAGTAGTTTACTGACACTTTCCAGTGTGTGGTAATGAGAGGATTATACACTTATTCAATGATTTTATTTTTAAAGTATTGTTTTGGAGGGTTATTTGACAGCATTCTGACTGGCTTATTAAAGGAAGGAAAGCAATAAAGCTTCTAATTCTTGAATTTGATTAAAGGAAAAAGTTCTTAGCAAGTTTGTCTAATGTTCTAGGTTTATTTAAGATGTCTGCAAAAATGTCTTTGAACACTTGGAAATGTTGAAGGGTTTAGAAGGTGAGTTCTTGTTTAGATTAGGGGGAACATTACTTTCAAGCGTTAATTTTTTTAATTGAAGCTACATCTGAAGGTTTTAATTTCTAAAGTGCATAAATTGGTTCGTATTTTGCTGTGACTTTGGAAACTAATGCGTGCTTTCTATCTTGAACCATATTTTGATGGTAATTACAATAGACTGTGAGCTCCTTGACATTAGGGCACCTGGCTAGACATCAGTAAAACCCAATAATATATCTGTTGAATTAAATTGTATTTCAACAGAAAAGGCACAATTTGAGAATTTCTAAAATACTTTTTCCTATCTTTTTATTATGAAATTTTTCTGACACAGAAACTGTTGAAGGATAGAACGGTGATCACCATATACCTACCATCCAGATTCAACAATTTACATTTGTTCCATTTTAAAATCACTTTTAGATTTTTTTTTCTGAACCACGTGCAAGTAAGTTGCAGACACCCTAACACTTTACTTCCACATACTTGAGTGTACACCTCTTAAAAATAAGATATTCTTCTCTTTAACCACAGGGTTTCTGAGTCTTTCTTATAGAGACCAGGGTAATAATAATAATAGTGTGTTGGCTCTGTCACTTTTCACCTGAGTGGCCTGATGCAAGTAATTTGATACCCTGACCTCAGTTTCCTTAGCTGCAAAGTGCCTATCTCAAAGGGACATTAGGATGATGATGTGTGTATAATTCTTAGAACCATACCAGACATGATTTTCAGTTTGTAAAGTGGTGAGGAACTACACCCATCCTAGTTCCTAGTTGGAAACTTCTACCTCACCTTCCCACATGTAGGTGTCAAGAAATCTTGTATTTTCTGCCTCCTAACATCTCTGAAATTTGTCCTGTTCTTTCCATTTTTACTGCAGCATTTCTTGCCTATCAACAATTTCTTCTTCTCTCATCTAGTTTCATCTCCACCTCCTCATCCATTTCCTTACTACCAGAATTTGTATTATCAAATACAATTTAATCATGTTAATTTCCTATTTAAAACTCATTTCCCATCACCTACACTGCAAAGCCCAAGTTTCTTAGCTCTGGGTTCTGTGTACCTTCTGTCTCTGCAGCATTATCTGTTACTATACACTTCCTCCCCACCCCACCTCACTCTTAACACACACAGACACACATGCCCCCGGCCTGGAGCAAGCCATGGGTAGTTTTCTGTGTCACACGCCTCTGCGCCTTTGCCTGTTTCTTTCCTCTGTCTGGACTCCCCCCTACCCCCCCATCCTCTTTATGCCTGGCAAATACTTGTCTTTTAAGACTGGGTACAGGTATCTAACTCCTCAGTCGTGCCTTCTCTTTTGTCTCTACTCTGCATTTTACAGTCTTATGGGTAGTATAATATTCAGAACATTTTCAGGCAGCCATTTGCTTGCATGTTGGGCCCATTCTACTAGATAAAAAAGTCCTTGAGGGGACACACTAGGTTTTATTCTTTTTTGTATACCTAGTGCTTAATATGTTGCTTGTACCGGGCACAAAATAAATATAGATATTGTGTCCACATTTTGTGGATGAAAAAAACCTGAGGTTCAGAGAGTATATATTATGTACCCAAAGTAACAGAACTAATTAATGAAGCATACAGATCTTTAAGAGCCCATTTCAGTACTGTTTTCATTAACTATAATATTTCTCATAATTACATCCATTTGTTCAATGATTCTGTTCATAGTCTGTGGACTTAGAGCCCCCTAGAGGACCTTAGAATTCCCTCATGGAAGTCTAGAGTCATATATGCATTTTCTGTCAACTGAGTTAATAAGATTATATATGTATATGTATGCATGTCACCAGTTTTTTTGAATGTGCACAGATGTTTCTGTTACTAATAGTGAATCATTTTGGTGAAGTAGACATACTTATATCTTCTGGGAGGAAAGCAGTATGAGGGCCCTAACCAGATAGGAGATTTGGAATAACAGCTTTGCATAGTTTGCTAGGGAATCAATAAGGTACAAGAAAGTATTTCTTGAAAGCAGTTAAATTCAGATTAAATGGTAATATCTGAAATTTTCCTAGTCCTCAGTAGTTCATTAAAGTGAAAGAGTTTAAAAATTTCTGAAATCAAGCTTAATGAAAACTCATTAAATTTATTTCTTTAAATAAAGTAGCAACTTTCAGCTGCTACCATAATGTTTAATTCTT